CTATTAATACGTTTTAATAAAATATTCCAAATCAGAATGCCACCAAGTCTACGCTTCTCTAAATTGTGCATTTCACAATGGACCATGAGGGGCAGAGGGCAAAGACTGCCTTTCAGTGGCACCACAGTGCCCTCTTGTGGTAAGATATAGGACCCGCATAGTCATAATTTATAAAAAGGTATTGACTATGCTTCAAATAACACATAAAGCCTATAATTGCTTTGAGAATCAATCTAAATATGAAATATGGCAATCTGTGTTGGGATCTGAGCAAAATAAACCCTCCTCTAAATAGAAGTCACAACTTATCTGATGAGGTCAACCACCTATCTAGTTGGTGGCAAGCATAAAACGTGTTCTTTGGATTTGATAGTCTGGATTGTTTCTACATGGCCACACAGCTACCTCCAGGTTCAAAGCGGACTGTTTCTGTTCTTTCACATTTTATAAAAGTACAGCTCAGGGGCTGGAGAGGTGGCTCAGTGGTTAAGAACACTGGTTGTCCTTGCAGAAGACCCGGGTTCGAATCCCAGCACCCAAGTGGCAGCTAACAATTGACCGTAACTCCAGTTCCAGGGGATCCAACAGCCTCTTCTGTCCTCTGCAGGCAATGCACCACACGGGTGCACTTACCTATATGCAGGCAATACACACATACAAAAAAAAAGCACAGCTCAATCACAGCAAGTAGGTTCTCAAGAAAAAAATGTAAACAGTTATCGTTACTACACAGGCCAGTGTGACATTCTAAGGCCTTGTGAAAGTCCTCTACACCATCAGCCTGCAAAGGAAGGGTGCTCTGCTTTTGTGGATTGATACAGAGGTGCCTTCCTTAGGTAACAGACAGGAAAAGCCGATTTGTCCATAATCAAAAATAGGTAAGAGTTATTTTAAAATATTTTATGAGTGTATTTCCTGCACCAATGTGAGTGCATGTGTCATGCAGTGCCATGGAGGTCAGAAGAGGGCTTCGGATTTCCCCGGAACTGGAGTTAAGGACGGTTCATAGTCACCATGTGGGTGCTGGGAATCAAACCTGGGTCCTCTGCAAGAGTAGTCAGTGCTCTTAACTGCCGAACCATCTCTGCGACCCCAAGAATTACTATTTAAATGAGTCCTCAAGAGGCTTCCAAACCATACAAACCTTAAATGGGGTTTGGAGAAAGAATTTTCAAAGATAGCCCGTGTACATTTGGCTGACCATAAGCATCAGTTTCACCTGGGTGTTTTATTCAATATGTAGTTTATTCCTCAGATCTATTGAAGACTATATTCTCTGTGAGGTTTAATATTGACTCTGCACTTTTACTGATATGAAAAGCAATTTAATATTTTATGTGTATGGCGTATTGCCTGCATGTAAGTGCACGTGTTGTGCAATGGCTGCAGAGATCAAAAGGCATCAGATCTGTGACTGGAGTTACGGAAATTTGTGGGTATTGGGACCCGAACCCAGGTCCTCTGCAAGAACAGCCAATGCTCTTAACTGCTGAGCCATCTCTCCAGCCCAATAACCAATTTCAACATTGAACACTGGAAGGAAATCTCCTGTTTGTTGACTGCCTTCTGCTTTGGTTAAGCGGTTTTCCTCTTGCCCTGTCCTGCCCAGGCCTGGCTGCCTTGTTCCTACTCAGTTCTAGCTTTTGCAGAGCTACTGGGTAGCAGGAGATATTCTCTGACAGTGATCGATGCTATGGTTTTACTCTTGTCTTTTCCCTCTCATAGGTTATCAGGCTTGAACCTAAAAATACTCTGAAGTTAAGTCTTCTGGAAAACAAAATTTTTCCAATTTGACAGTCCTTTTATTTAAAAAAAAAGTCAGAAATACATTTTTAAAGATTTTTTGAATTTTATGTGTACAAGTGTTTGCCTGCATGTATGTAAGTGTACCACGTATATGCCTGGTGCTCACAGAGGCCATAATAGGGCATCAAATCCCCTGAAACTGGAGTTACAGATGATTGCTAGCCATCACGTGGGTGCTGGAAACTAAACTTGGGTTCTCTGCAAGAGCAGCAACTACTCTTAACCACTAAGCCATTTCTCTAGCCCCTACATTCAGATTTTTAAAGGATCTAATGCTAGAAAAATACAGACCACAAATAAGTTTACATTAGAAATAACTCAACTTTTAATTAATTGTCTCTAAACTATAGTGCTTCCCATGTTTTCTCTAATACTGTTACTGACCTTCTACAAGAAGTCATCTTTTAACTGATGTTACTCTACTTGATTTTAGCTAAAAGGCCAAGAAGCAATTTCTTCTTTTACTGATGTTAATGAAACAATAACCACATTTTTCTAAAGGCAGCAAAGGCTTTCACTGTTAGCAATGTGTCATATTTGTGTGGTTTTTAGTCTTGTGCACATTTTCTTAAAATGGAAAGGCAGCCGAGAATGAAAGAGATAACCCTCATATCTATATCAATTTACATTTTATTTCCAACATCTGGGACTGTAATTGAGAACTGAATGGCAGATGTTCACATTGCTGAGTGTATGTGTACAAAGCATTACTTTGAAGATACTACTTGATGTGTTTTCATTCCAAGATCCTCATGGGATGTGTTCCACAGAGTTTATAGCAGGTGTTTCAGGGGCAAGAAACTCTCCTACACTGAACACTTTAGGTTACTAAAGTCAGCATGCAAACACTAAACACACCACACCCATTTTCAAAGACATGTTCTGGGCTCCTGTCAAATATCAACAGGATTGAACATCTGAATATCCATCCCCAAAACCTATTCTGTATCACTGATCATCTTGTACAAAGGTTAAGGGATGTGCTTTGATCACTCACACAAGTACCTGGTGGTCACAGATACATGATGTGAAGAACGAGCCAGTCAGAAACATTAGGTTCAAGTTTGACTCTGACTCCCAAATTTGTGAGCCCAAATTGTTGGGCTGGGAATGTAGGTCAGTGGTAGAATGCTTGCCTAGCACATGTCAGGCCCTGGTTTCCATCCCCAGCACCACAAAAAAAAAAAGAAAAAAAAAGAATTTGTGACTTAACCTATTTGACCCTGAGTCCCGACTCTGTGAAACGGGGCTCATCAGTCCTCCTATCACCACAGCAGACGGCTGAGGCAGCAGACACAGATGGTGTCAACATGTTTTCGATAGCTCACAGTTACTTAAACTCCATACAAGAGGAGACTCCTCAAGAAGACAACAGTACTAGCCCTTTCCCAAGAAAGGTGGCCTCCGCCAACAGTACAAATACTCCAACATGGACTGAATTCCTTGACACTGCAGCTGCTTAAAGATTGTTCCAGACACACTCTAACTCCTACATAAGTACTTCTAACCTTCAAACTCTACAAAGTAATTATTCTGAAATTCCCAAATTAATCACAGTGAAAATGCTCCTGGCCATAGTGCATGTACCAAGCTCTCACCAGGCAACATTCTAATAGCTTTCTGTGAACGTGGGGTCAGTTACTTATCATAACAGTCCGTATAATCTCTAATGGGGGTGAGCCTTGGACACAGAGCCCACCAGCAGAAGAGCTGGGGTCTGGCTCTAGAATACTCCTAGCTCACTGCTGGTGGAAGGTACAAAGTCCCAAAGCTTCAAATTCATGCTGGGATTCTAAACTCGAACACAGTGCCTACCTACATCAGAATAACTACAGCAGAAACACAACTCTGAAGTCATCATGTGGGCTCACCAATCAATCACTACCTACCTAAACATATTTCCTTTTATGATGGAGATTATCCCCCATCTTTGAGATACTAAAGCTCAAAGAACACTTGCAAAAGAAGAAATGGTGGGGCAACAGGGAAAGCCCGCAGAACTTTTTGACATCAAACTTTTCAGTTTTCTCTTGTTCAAAGAAAAATGGGAAATAAAACTGTACTCTTAACATATCTATAGTTTAGAACTGTGACCAACAATCTTGCCTTGTATGTCAAATCTTAACTAAACATACTCCTAGGCCCAACAAATCCCTCTTCTAGAATCTCATACATGGAACTGTTCTAAGTGTACAGGGACCTACACAAGGTTGTATGAAGACTAAAGCTAAAACACCCTCAACACCCATCACTGACTAAATCCTCTATGGCACAGACACTTGGCAGAACACCATGGCCAGCCACAGGAACGAGGGAGCTCCAGCCCTGGTGACCTGTGTCTTTGTGGATATACCTTCAAGCCAAACAACAAGTGACAGGATTATGTAGTAAACTCCTTGCTTTATTAAAGCAAGCTGTAAGAGAGGGGGGAGGGGGGAGGAGGGAAAGGGGAGGGGAAGAAGGGGTTGGAAAGGAGGGAGAGAAGAGGGCCAAAAAGAGCTACAAACTTCCTCTGGAGGGTAAAAATGAGAGGGATTGGGGGGGGTGTCTCTCTTATATTCTACTTTGTAGACATCTGTGTATGTTTGCAGTAGGTAATTACTTATAAAATAAAAATATAAAGTTCCAAACAGGAGACTTTGGAGGCTAACTTTCTAAATGGACTGGAACACTGCAGTCCAGGTCTCCGTCTGCAAACCTATGCACACCAAGCACAACACTGCCACAGAACCTGACTTCCAAAGTTCTTTCTAGACTTTTTTTTAACTAAGTCATTCATTTCAGAGATTATAAAGCTAGCAATGCCTCTATTTTCAGATTATGTCATAAATTATATAAAAATCTAAATGAAGGTTTTCATAATTACAGACCTTAAACAGTAAACATAAAACACTTCAACAAAACAAATGACTAATGCTGCATAGTTTTGCTATACTTTATTCAAAACTGCCCCACTTCTTACTTAAGGGAACTCATAGTCTAATGTCCAAATATAAATATCCATCATATGTTGAAAAATAACCTTCAGATTTGTGCTCTGACCCAAATTTGGCACAATTAAGTCATACGCAAGTCAGGCACAAATGTTCACAGCTCAGAAGGCAGCAAAACCCTGAAAGTGGCCCAGCCAGTGAGCTGCGACGTCATTAGCAAACTGTCACTGAACCGGAATCTTCTCAAGTTACACACACACACACCTTTGCACAGGTAATTTTATTCTCTCCTGTGGGTGTTGACAGTGCTTGTAGATTGTATTTGAAACATTCAGAAAGCACATACCTGAATATTGTCACATTTCTTTACATCACGATTTAGTAACTATTAACAGTATGTCTACTAAATACAGTGAACAAAATGGTATGTTTATACCATCCCCTTGTGAACAAGGCTTTTGTGCACAATAGTAACAAATGAAATTAATGCATACCATGATATCAACAAGGGAAAAACTTGCTGTTTAAATAAACTCTTCTGTTCATAAATAAACTCTGATTTTTTTCAGTACACATTTACAGACCTGATCAATAAAAAGAA